CCGTTTAATATAAAAAGATCAAATTCTCATCATGTCCAGAATGATCATTTAGTGGAAGACTCTTGTAACTTCATATATTTTAGCAAAAAAATAGACACCCCCCCAAACAGCCCCACTCTTCTACATTTCTTTAAAGGACCAAACTACATTGCTAGGCCAGCACTCAGAAAAGGAGGGAGTAAACGGTTTTTAAGTAAAAAGAACACATTTCCATCATTCTTCCTGGAAAGTAAATGTGTCTTTCAGGAGAGATAAAAAGCATGTCTTAGCTGTAAGTAAGTCCTTATGCAAAGAACTAAAGTAAATAACTAAATCCTGGCTAATATTTGACAGTTGCTGCCTTATGGAAACACTGAGGTCTGCAAGGACAGCGGCAGAATAATTAAATGGTAAAGCACTATGTCAGCTGTTGAAGAGATTAAAAACCAACATCCTGTATGACAGCAACAACAAAAAAGATCAACAGGACAACAGCAAGCGGTGGCATCAGCATTGCCAGAAACGTGTGTGTAAAAGAGGCTTTAGCTCCTATTTCAGCATCTAAGTGAGTACCTTAATTCTCAGGCATCCTGAGGTGTGAAAAGAAGCGAGACCTACCAAGGCTCATCCCATTTAACAAATTATGTTTGTCTAAACATTGGGGCCCACAAAGATGATCAGAGGGCTGGAGTACTTCTCCTGTGAAGGCAGGCTGAGAGAATTGGGCTTGTTCAGCCTGGTGAAGAGAAGGCTTCACAGAGACCTTCTAGCAGCCTTCCAGTACCTAAAGGGGCCCTACAGGAAACCTGGTGAAGGACTTTTTATAAGGGCATGTAGTGACAAGACAAGGGGGAATGGCTTTAGGCTGACAGAGGGGAGATTTAGATTAGATCTTCGGAAAAAATTCTTCACTATGAGGGTGGTCAGACACTGGCAGAGGTTGCCCAGAGAAGCTGTGGCTGCCCCATCCCTGGAAGTGCTCAAGGCCAGGCTGGATGGGGCTTGGAGCAACCTGGTCTACTGGAAGGTGCCCCTGTCTGTGGCAGAGAGGCTGGAACTGGATGATCTTTAAGGTCCCTTCCAACACAAGCCATTCTATGATTGGGAGCTATCTCCCACCCCCCTTTTTTTTTAAAGACATTTTTGGCACAACTGTTAGCGGCTGGTTCTGAGTGTTGGTGATGGAACTTGCCCCCTTGCTGTTGGAGAGCAGCAGCCTCAAGCTTTGGGGCTGCTGGGAGGGATCCCATGTGGAGCAGCAGCTCAATGCCTTCCGCTCCCCAGTGCTAAGGGTTATCAGATGGCACTGCAGGTGTGCTGACATGTCCATAACATCTGTTAAATGTCAGATACATAATACAACACAGCCGGCACTCTAAAAATGGTACCTCAGACAGAGCATACACTGGCACGTTTTCTTCCTACTTGCATGAACCAAGACTCCAGATCCTGACCCCTCTGCTTCCCCATAAAAATGCATCACAAACACAGTCAAAAACAGCTTGCAGGGCAGCCTACAGAAGGTATTAAAACCCTCCTGTGACTGCATATGTACAAGAGATGGTATAAAGCTGCTCACGCCCCTTCAGTTCCACCTATCAGAATGCTGCTCTAAATTGCAGTGCAAAAGGTAGACTAGGGAGGATTACCAGTATAAATACAACCCTGAGCAGACCTGCCCTAAAAGCCATTTAATGAAGAGTTATGGACTGTCAGCATTGGTCAAGAGCTGATACACACTGAGTCTGCCTGTTGTCAGCAACAGGCAACTGTGAGAAAGGCGGCCAGAGGGCAGCTGATTTTGGTAGCCGGGTGATGGCTCTAGGCTAGACTAGGTATATACCTAGTCACCCCATGGACTTCTTACAGATGTTGGCTAGTCTGGGTTGCAAGCAAGCAATGTTGTAGAATCTCAAGCTTTCAACAAGCTGTTTCAAAATTTTTCTTCAGATTGTTTTACCTTTAGGTATGTTTTTGTTTTTCTTTCATTGACTTTATTGAGAAGATTAATGATGAAAACTAGATCTATCAGAATGTGTATGTGTATGTGAATGGTACCTTCAAAGTTCATCTAGGACCTTGAAATAGAGTCCTTAGGGTTGCTAATAAAGACCCTGAATGTGTAATTTGAATGGAAGCAGCATGCTGCTTGTACTGATCTTTAGCTATTCACCATAAACCCCTTGACTTATGTTCCTAAATTAGTAGAATTCAGCGAGAAATTAATACACAGGAGAGGTAGATGCATGGACTTAATCAGACAGCAAATAATGCAATCAGAAATAAAATATTATCTACTTTAAAATAATTAGGAAAATAGATTCCTTTAGAGAAAGCAGTTTTTAGGTCATAATCAGTGCCACTGTAATAACTGAAATGGACTGGGTACTGATTTCTACCTGTTACTACGCCTTCCAATTCTCACTTTTTTAGTGGTTTGAACTAAACATTGTGTAGTGTTTTCAGCACTGCAAAATGTTTTCTTAAATCAGTGACTTGGAAGAAGTATGTTCAGTTCCGTGACAACACATTTCATCACAGGTAATTCAAAACATTTTGCCAAATGGACCAGTTAAATTTCACAGGTTTGCTGTGATGTAATGCAATAACACCAACTTTTTTAACCTCTACCTGGTTAAACTTTCTGGTAGAAAGATTGAGTATTTGCATGTAAACAAAAAATGATTTTTCAGCTGCCAGGTCCACTTCACATTGAGAAAAATGTCATCAGCACTCACAAGCTACTTTTAGTTCCTGCTGCTCAGATCACTGATGCTGTCTCTGAGTCAGGATACAGAGGGCAAACAGATAAAAATTCAAGAAAAGTGAATCAGAGGACTCAGAAAGTGCACAAAGAAAGATGAAATACTGCTATTTTGACTAAATTTTTCACTACCAATTATAGCTTTTGTCCTTACAGACTTTTCTGTTGATGTAAGTTCCTGATCCAAAGAGAGCAAGAGAACAACTCAGAAGCTGATAATTTCAAATATGGATTGTGATTTACAACTGAACAACCAAAGACAGTGACCTAGTCAGGTCACTACTTCATTGTAATTGCCCTGTTACCAAGCACTGTAAGAAGATGGGTATACTTAGGAGACCTTGAAAGAATTCCAGAAATAAGCTTCCTAAACTATATTTTCTTGCATCTGCAAAGCAATTAAAATCTGTTCTCTTGTAGTACCATGACTGTAAGAACATGACTATATAGGTGCTGCAAAAACAAGTGCCAAGTAAAAATGACTGGTGGTATCTGCAGGAAGGGAACAGCTTAGCATGAACCTGCCAGGCACATAGTCTTCTCAGATCTCCTCATCATGAAAGAAGTTAAAACATTCAAAACAAAACTAACACCTCCAGATTCGTCTCAAGACTTCAACCATGGCTGCTGAGTTGCATGTCTACACTGGCAGCTAAGACTTTCCAAATTCTGAAAACGTCCAGTTCCTGTAGAAGATGAGAGGTTGTAGATGCATAATGGCAAAGGCTGTGCATGTATGAGGAGATTATGTACCCCACCAATTTCTCCAGACTGCAGCTATTAAGGGATGATACACTGTGGATAGGAAAAGGAGAAATGACTGCATTTGTTGTTAGAAATCTCTGGCTTCTCAAAGCATGCATTGTTCCATATGGTATTATCCCGGGCAACTAGGTAGGTACCTAATGACAATATAGATTTTCTTGCAAGCTCAATTTATTAGGCATGAGACTCATGGTTAAAAAACACAAGGTAGAGCCAAGTGGAATTACTGCCATTATTTGTCATAAACCCCAAAATCCATTTCTCTCAGTTATAATGTACTGATACAACCTTCCATCAGTCTCTCAGGTTGAGAGAGATAAAAAAACACCCAGTGAATGCACTTTTACAGTGTTACTTTTCCCACCATCTTTGGTGTTCACGTGTACACCCGAACACATTGATCCATGTCAGGAATGTAATCAACAGCCAGCAGAAGAAACCCCTGCTGTCTCAGCCAGTTCCTGTAGTGCCAACTCACTGCATGGCTCAAACAGCTCAAATGGGTCCCCTGTTGTTACTCTTCGGGTATCATGAAAAATACGTTGGAGTACAAAGAAGTATGAAGTGTACTATGCTCCTGGTCTACAGATTATCTTCATGCTTTGCTTTTATGCAGCACCAATCTAAATTACAATAAAGTGGACAGTTATTCATTCATAAGATTCTGAACTGGCAACATGGAAGTATTTATTAAAGACATAGGTTTGGAAATAAAAGAAAACCACAATTAACTTATCTACACTGAGGTACGTTGTATCAAAGATATCTCCCTCTTCCTCCTTCAAAACACATTTTCCTTTCCATACAACACAGCAGACAGGCTTCCAGCCTTAGACCATGTCCCCCCTTCCTGATAAAGTATCTTAGTTTTTACAACCAGCTCATGACTGGGAACATGTCCACTCACCCCCACCTCCATGCAAAAATGAATGAATCTCTCTTCAGCAAAGCATAATCTAATGTATAACTTCCAACTTTTATACTGCATATCAAATGCATGATAAATGTTGGTATCCTGAAATCTAGGAGCATTTTACTATGTGAAACTAAACAAAATTCACCCTGTAACATACTATATACCTATAATATATATCTATAACATATCATGACAAATATATTAAGAATAATTTCATATTGAACACAGTAATATTTTAACATTTGTAAGGGAAATGAAAGAGTTCTGACTGCATTAGGTCCCCTCACCTTACTGACCTTCCTTGAGAGCCATGAAACTGTGACTGCAGAAAATACAAATACCTGGTTTTGTAGGCAGGTTCTTCTCTGCCCACATAAACTAAGAGGAAAAATAGAATCACCAATCTACTTCTTATATATGTTAATTAGGTAATTTAATCCAGGTTACATTTAATAGATGACACAACTCGAATTCTCTTGGTTATTTTCCTGCTGTATTTTCTGAGTAAGCATTAAGTGGCCTTGAAATAAATAAAAAAAATGAAAACACACAACAAACCACAAGAACCATGCATCGTATCTCACAAAAGAATTCTATTTCAGCATGGAAGGAGAAGCAAGGCACAATCAAGGGACTCTTCTGTATTTTATTTTAGAAAAATTACATTAACAAATTAGAGCAGAACTTGGGCAGGTCTAAAAGGACATTTTCTGTAGCAGAAATATTGCCTAAGCTCTTTTAGAACTTGCTTGAATGCCAGAGCAAATATTTTCATTTCTTTGACCTTGCTAGGCAACTCCCCAACATAAAGTGTATGGTAAAAACACACTCCAGCAGTATCAAGCCTGGAATATTTATTAAAAACATTTGTGATCCATGAAAACAAACTAATTCTGCACATATTCAAACTGTGAACTCCATGTATTAAATACTGTAACAGAACCTCATCTAAACCAGCTTTTCATATGGAGAAAAAGAGGTGGCGGTGAGTGGGTGCTCTTCTATACATTATTGCTAAGATTTGACTTTCTGAGCCACCACTGACTAAAATTAGCATGGCTCCTTTTGAGCTTGTTTGGATGCACACTGTACTGTATTCCACTGTTCTACAGTAAAATTTGCAGCAAGATTTAGCAGCATTATTTCCTTATGAGAAAATAAAGGGCATGTTAGGATGTAAGTTTTATTTCTGTCTGCACTTTTCTCTCTGATCTAACATTGTGCAGGCCTAAATGACTACACCTTTCCACCTGTGCCACCAAAACTTAGGATGTATGTTTAACTGCCACCCATAGCCTCTAAATATTAGAAATGTTGGTGTGGAAGAGGATCTGTTATGTGGTCACATAAGGAACAGCTTATATAATAATATCATTACAATCCAGTTCCCACTACTTTGGAACACCTAGTCAGTTTAGAAGAAAACTTCTTGCATAAGTTATGACACTTTAAGATCCGTCAAGATCACATCATGTACTTCTCTTACTCTATGGTTGACCCTGTTCTGTTAAGTAGAGGGAACAGGGAGCTTTTATATGACTGAACAAAGGATTATCATCAGTTTCGCAACACGGTTGAATGTTATGTTCACTGGTATTTAGTTAAGAAATACCTTTCTGAAATGAATTTAATTCATAACAGCTGCTGTTGCTTTAGTTTGTTGACAATGAACTTCACCCATTCTTGCTAAGCGTAGATCATAGTAGAGTCACAGAATGGCTTGGGTTGGAAGGGACCTTCAAAGGTCATCTAGTCCAATCTTCCTGCAACAAGCAGGGACATCTTCAGCTAGATAGGTTGCTCAGAACCACATCCACCCTGGCCTTGAATGCCTCCAGGGTTGGCACATCTACCCCTTCTCTGGGCAACCTGTGCCAGTGTTTTACCACCCGCATTGTAACGAATCTTTTCCTCACACTCATCCTGAATCTCCTGTCTTTTAGATTAAAACTATTACCCACTGTCCTACCACAACAGGCCCTTCTAAAAGTCCTTCCCCAGATGAAATAAGAGGATTTCTACCATAGGTGAACCCAGAGGCAGCATTTATTAACATTAACAATGGAAGACAGCATAAGACATGCTTGCTTTTTGGAGGCCAGTTTCTAGGCTTTTTGGTGCCAAGCCTTTGTATCGTACACAAGATTAATAGCAAAATGGCTATTAGTGTCTTCACGGTTAAAGCCTGGTTCTTAAAAAGACAGAAAGCTTGTTTATGAGGACTGCTATTTGCTGGGCTCTGATCCACATTCTCATTGGAAATCCACCTCAGCAAAAGTGCTGTGAATTTCATTCTTGTCCTTGAAAGGATCACACAAGAAATGCACACAGACACATCAGTTTTTGAACACTTGACATTTTTGACAACGAACTACAACAAGTGGGAAAAAAAGAAAGAATGAAAGAAAGAAAGGACAAGATCATAGTCACCGTCATCTCAATACTTCAAAAGAAGAAACGTTAAGGACAGAAAGATCAAGTACTTTACATTTTTAAAAATGATCCACTGGAGTTTGGGGTCATCTTCTAGTTTCACAAGCTTTTCCATGAAACTCCAAACCCTCTAACCAAGCAACCAATCCTCACTGATGCCTATTCCCTGCTTTGTTTTTCACCTTTTTTTATAATGACATCCAACTATCAGATTATAAATCCTGTACAGCCATAAAAATAAGAATGCTTTTCATAGTGTTTTTTACTGCCCTTTGGACTGAAACAGTCTTGGAGGAAAAGGGAATTCTTTATTGTACTTTCCTACTTGCCAATTTTTGTAAACTTCTGTAAAAAAAGTCACAGAAATAGCTTGTACATGTTTGGGTTTCACAGCAAAAATTAGAAACTGAGTAACAGTTGGGAATTGGTATGAGGACTAGGTGATACAGGTTGGATCAGATGCAGAACAGACCTTCACATTAGACTATATTCACAGACATGAGGTAGCAGAAAATATTTAGAACGGCGAAACTAGAACAGTGGGAGTAGAAAGATGTACTGACAAAATATCTGGACTTAAAACTTGCAGTAGAAGATGATGAATTTACATGCAGAAGGTCCCAAAGACAAAGAAGAAAACAATACTGTATGAAATGTGATACTGTCCCTGGGCAACCTGATGGTATTAACTGCTTCATCTTTTCTGGGGTGAAGCAGGAAAGAAATAGGTTAGCTGTTTTTTGTTTACCACCTCTATGTCACTTGAAACATTTTGGAAGTATCCATTGGTAATTTCCCCCTTAATTGTGTGAATATCAACTTGTAAACTGTAAAAAGTTAAAAGAGTATGCACAGAACAAATGAAAAACACGTTATTGGAAGAAGTACAGAGAATCACAGATTACCTGAAAGTAAGATGTTATCGGCTATCACTAACTTCTCATATTTTTGTTTACATGTCTCTCCAGCTATGATGCTCAGTTTGCTAAAAGCCAAACAGTTGGGCATTTTGTACAGGTGTGGTAGCCAATGCGCTCAGTCCTACAAGACTCTGCAGCTAAGGAGCTAGTAGATGCACACACTGTATATTAGGCTGAACAAAGCTGAGATTCAACTCCATCCTTGAACAAGCTTCACAAGTCCTAGGGGTTTGTTGGCTTACCCAGAATCCCTGGTTTTGATAAAATGTGTTGCTGGTTGCACGTCATGAGTCGTGCCTGAACCCCTTGCAAGTGCTATGGAGTTCAAAAGGATGGGCTCTCCAACCCTGCTCCTCCAAAATTATTGCTTAGACTAGATTGTTTGCAATGGGAACTGGCTGCACAATGTGTTTTCTCTTGCTTTGACTACCTACAAAATGTAGACACTGCTAGTGAAATGACATTATAAACTTTATTTACAAGTATGCCAATGTATAAAACTTCCACTTGTGAATACTGAGAAGCAGATACTGAGCAGAGAGTAGTGGAGAGGAACTTACTTGGCAAATTGCCAAGTGAATCAACATAAAAAATGTAAGTATCACTTTTAACCTCTTCACCTACAATGTAAACCCTTTATCCAGAACAAATTAAAAAGAGATGCTGGACAATGATGCACAGAATTTGACACTCCAAAAATAGCAACATTGCAGTTACTGATTGCCAGTGCATACCTGTAAAGCATCAGCTTCAGTACTGCACAAAAGGCAGCAACTTAAACAAAACGCTGAAGCATCTAGCACAGATCTGCTCTTAAAAAAGATTTAAAGCCACTGATTTGCAAATGTAACACAGTTGTTTTAACTATGGGGAAAAAAAGGTAACACTTGTTTGAAGCTTGTACTAGTTAGGAAATAGGAATCCAATCTCCTAAGATGATTTGAAAAAATACATATATTTTTTGCAAGGGCAACATAACTGTAGTAAAAAATTCCTTCATACCAGAGGATGAACATACATATTTCTGAAAAATTAATGAATGTAAACCACAAGAAAGTGCATTCCTCAACAGTGATACTGAACTCTCCAAAGTGTGTGTGTAAGGCATCCAAACAAAACTTGTGATGATGCTTTCCAAAGTATCTGAAAATAGTAGATACTACCTCAGCCACTTACTGAGATAATTGAGAGTAAGTGAAAGAGATGACAGAGCTTTTCAGGTACAATCACTTTGAAATTTAAATGCTCATTACTTAACACGTTTCTTATTTAAAATTTATACGAATCAACATGCAAGAGTCCTTTGGAGCCATGTAAAAACTCAAAACCTGTGTTTCAGCTTCAGTTTGTCTTTATTAACACAAACATTATTCTCAAACTCCTGAGATTACTTGAGAAAACTGCCTTCTCAGTTCTGCATCCATTAGAAACAGATTGAAATTCACACCAAATACAAGTAAGCCTTTGACTGAAACTCAGCACATATTTCACTCAGGGCCAGTACAGAGGCACAAACATACAAATCTTTCCAAGAACTCTTATTTCTTTTTTTTTTCCCTCCTAACAAGCTCTTTCTAAAAGAAGCAGCACACAATGCATTCATACAAACTGAGGAAAACCACAGCATTTCTGTCCTAGGAGGTACAAGGCGTAGCATTAGATCAGTTTACTTCTAGTTACCAAGGTCTCATCACACAGCCACTGGCACTGAAACCTGCCAGATATAATATATAAATGGAGTTGTGGCTGCACGGCCAAGCTTCCAGCACATGGGCAAAAATAACAGCGGTACAGCTTAGTAGGAAAAGCAAGTGGGGAGACAACATTTTGTAGGTCAAATAAGAACAGTTAACGATGGTCATTTAGCCTTACTAAACACCGAATGCATGGATCTGTATATTTGTTATTATAATGGATGTACTTTTCAGGAAGAGTCTTGTTCTATAGACGTAGTGGGGGAAAAGGCAGGAGTTAAATCCTGTTCTTGCTGAATTCATTAGCAGAATTTCCATGTGCTTTAGGCGGGATCAAATTTCATGTATGGGATATTTTTTTGATTTGGTTGTATGATTTCTTGATTAAATATGAGAGATAAAAGAGTTTAAAACAGATAATTCAAACTGTTCTATCTTGGAAACACAGAGGCTGCTTCAGCTCAAGATAAACTGTCTTCCTGAGCAAGCTCAGAAGTATCCATGTATCCAGAAAATAAATTTAATTGGAGAGACTGAATTCACATGGAAATTTTCAGATTTATGAGCTTACCTATTCACACCTGTTTACCTCTCTGCCACTGAAGAACAAGGAAATACACCTATAAACCAAACAGAAACTACCAAACTGTACCAGTAAAAGGGGTTTTAAGAGCAAGATAGAGGCTTGTAAATGGCAGATGAACCAATAAGACCATGGCTCTTCATGGAGACCTGAGATCAATAAATGATCCTGTATTACTCCAGTAATGCTTGTAAATGATTTTGTTAGCATTCCAGAGAAAATGTGATTACAGAGCAAATCAGTGCTGTGCAACTTTGTCACACACTGTGGTAAAGCCATGCTTTTCAACTCGGCAGCCAAAAGAGCTGACAGATTTTTGCTTCGTTTCTTGCAGTGATGTAAGAAGCATTCAGTACCCATGATGAAACACTGGCTAATCATATGTACTGTGCTCTAAAAACAGTCTTGTTCAGAATCCTCCTAAAGTCTTGCAGAAAGTTTCAAAGGTTTGCTTACTACAAAACGTTGCACTTAAGTTGATTTTGTGTTACATGTCATGGGAAGTAGGTCACATCTGATCTTCTGATTTACTATATGAAAACTGTCATCTACATTTACTGTCAATAGGAAACCAACATGCTACTTTTGTGGTTACTCCTTACGATTGGTAAGACCTAATTTTGTCAATGGTGGACAAAAGATTACAGCTATGCTCCTGCTTGCTTACGGTGCTGAGCTGGCAGGAATAAAATAGAAGACACTGAGAGAATCTGCATCTTCCTTATAGTGGATAAATCCATTTCATGGCTGCAGAGAAACACGTCTGCACTTGGCAAAGGCTCCACTTAAAAACAAAAATAGAAATATCATTGTTTTAGTGAACATTACAGAAATACAACTCCCCGAGTGAATGTGACGCATTAATAACACCTCTTTAAGTGCTGTCTAATGATTTCTGCAGACATGAAATGGAACATTTTACTACTATTTTCAGCCATCTGTGCTGCTTTTTCTTTCAGCTCAGTTTTGCCAAAACTGTAATGAAAGTCCCAGTGCTTTATGCCATTACATGCTTCTTACTATCAATACACTAATTAAACATAGCAGTGGTGTCACAGGTACTAACTGCTGAACCCTCACATTGGCAGAAGCACAATGCAGTGCATATACAGTCTATATACCTAGAGCCTGGTAATTATTAAGCAATCCTATTCTACCTTAAGGTTTCTCTCAGTAATAAAGGGAATTCAGAAGGAAGCATGCCTAAAGTTGTATTACAATGATATAACTCTGAAGGCCATCATTAATTCTTTGACCACATGCTCTTGTCATTATGGACAAGTAAGTCTTCTGGACTGCATCTATACTGAGGTTTTACTTTGCAGATGTAGCACACTTATAGAGTGAATTTCTTCATCCTCCAAACTTTGCTCCACATCATGGCCCAGCATCTCAGAATGCATGGGCTGGATTCTGCTCTGACTAAATTACTTGGGAGATCTCCAGAACAATGCTGAGTGTGCTCCAGCAGTAACTGAGCATTACACTCTTGGGACTAGACCAGGGCTAGTTCACAGAAAAAACTAAATCCCAAAGTATATACAGAGCAGACATCAGGTTCTTGAGACAAAGTATTTTGCTTTACCTATATGTTTCTGCAGATATGCTCTATGCATTAATGCAGACATTTTCTCTTTTTTTCTTTTTTCAGTTCCCCAGACAGACTATCTTTTGGGGATGGTGATGTTTGAGCCCACACCTATTTGGTGGCCATGCTGCTTGTACCAGCTTCAGCAAGTCCTGTCACCACCCATTATTCCTTAATTATTATTATAAATACTTTCATGGCCATGATGTGAGCAATATATAACTTTCTAACAAAAAAAAACCAAACCTGGTGAGTGAATGATACCACTTTCACAGTGATAAAATAAGGTACTTTTCAGCTGGATAAGCTTTGTTGATTTAGGTCACTGTTTTGGCTTCCTAAATTGAGACACTATCACAAAAAAAGGTGAGGAGCTCCTTATTTTGATTGTTAATCAAACTATGGCCTCAAGCACATAAACAGAAGTGCCACAAGACCTTCCAAAACAGACAGAAAATCTACATTTATAGTATTTACAATATTGAATCTATTCATAATAGAGACTATTCTAACTCCTAGTACAAAAAGCAGGGGCACAATATACAACCTGCAAGTTCAGAGTGAAAAGCAACAGTTCAAGCTGCAGTGCTTCCAGAAAGATTCAGAAAACGTTGTAGAAGTTTCTCTCTGAAACAGGTTCTTGTGGTTAAATAGTATTATTCTCTATTAATATGTAACTTGCTGTCAAGTCTTGTTCCAATTAGTGATATACTACTGCTTTTCCTCCTTCTCTGCATTCCTCCCCAGTTGAGCAAAACAGACAGCATGCAAACTAAATAAGGGAAAAATTAGAAGCAAACACCTTTATGGAGGTAACTAGTATTATCTGAGGTAGTGCACCCAAATTAATTGGCATACACAATTAGAGAAAGGCTGCTGCAAACCGACAAGTCAAATGAAGGATAACTCACAGGTAACAGCAATGCGACTGACAAATTATTCACTGCAGTAGAAAAGGATTACTTAGAAGGAAAAGACTTAAGGGTACGTATGGAAAATAAAGTGATTTGTTCTTCTCTTTTATGCAGTTCCTTTAAAGAAAAACAGCTAAACCCACAACTAACATATACAGCTGAAGGGCAATTCTGGACAATGCAACTGTCACACACAAACACTGCATTTCATTTCTTGGATAGAGATGTATTTGTGAGCTGCAATAGTGCTGAACAAGCCTGCAGTTTTCCTCACAATTCCCTGGATAAGATGTGTACTTCAACCCTCAAAATAAAATCTGCAAGTTTATCAAAAATCACTCAAATAAAACAAGGTAAAGATCTGTACTTTCTAAAAGTTTTTATTCAATGTGGAAAAGTTAGACTCAAGCAATAATTTTAGGTTCAGCAGACTGTGATCTATAGTAGCATTCAGCTATTGGCATTTAGGGGCAGATTAAAAAGAAATTTCATACAGTATTCCAATACCTATGTTAATATCATTGACAGAAATGACATTTTGGCAGCATCTGGCTCTAAATAAATTGAAGCTGCTGATACATATTTAATATACAAGGTTATCTCCTCTCAAGCTATGGCCCAGTTGAGAATGGTCAGCATGAGTGCTGCAAGAACAGTTTCTAATTATTAAATATGTGGCATCACTCATTTCAAGTTAGTCCTGGCAGAATTATTACTCAGAAGCACTGGGTACCACTTGGCCGTTATCGTCTTTAAATCTGAGAAATGACAGCCCTTAAGCTGTCCCCACTCACAAGGTTTAGCTGACTTTTCTCCCATTACTGGCTATCACTGTCACTCAAAAAAAGCAGTCATGCCTCTTCCTGCATTTTTTTCTCCCCATTCTGCTCCTGCTGACGCCTACATCTGTACAGTTGTTTAGGGAAGTGACTGGGAAAGTGGCCAGGTTAACCACCAACACCACTCTGGTACTTCCCTGGAAAAAACTGCTCCCTAGCCAGCCTGATCGCCGTTTCCCATATACCACACCAACTACTTTTACCCACACAAGGGACCAGCCAAGACTGTAGTTTCCAGAGGCAGTGCCAACTTGGAGTTTTTCTTCAACTACCAACTGATGGTTGCAGCCTAATCTCATGATATTCTTTGGTTTGAAACACATATCCTGCATTTTCTTCCCTGAGCTGCTGAGTGACTTGGCTAAATCCTACATCACAGGTGCATCTCAGTGAGGCAGCTAATTGATGTCTCTGAAGTGTCCAAGTTTCTGCTCAAGAGCCAACACCATTCTTTGTAATACCTCAGTATCAAACATGCTACACAAGATCTCATTTTTAATTGCGTTCAAACTCCAAGAAAACAAAGTGACAAAAGTAACATTTAAGTTACTGAGAGAGCAAATACAGCAACAGTCACGCTACAAAATAAGTTAATTCTACTAGAACAAAGATGCTTCTTAAGCAAAAAAAAAAGTGTAGCAGTTCTACATAGTGTATAGCCAGCATGTTTTGTAAACATCAATAAAGAAAGCAAAATTTGTGCTCTTGGTGACAGCTGTCTGTTTGACAGTAGCAGGAACCTTTCAATTTTCCAGTATATCAAATATATTTCTTAGAACAGCAAAAGCTATCTTTTATGTCTGTCTTACCTGAGAAGAAGTATGTGGAAAGCACTACTGTATAACAACATTAGATCCTTGCTGTGCATTTTGGTAGTGGTTTCTTCAGATCGCTACAGGCCATTAACCTTTTGCTTCAGGTAAGTAATGAACAATGACCCTTCTAACAAAGGAAATCAGCTGTGTTACCAATGGCAACTCCACTTCTAAATACATGCACCAACCCCCTGTGCATGCACTTGTTATTTATTTTTTTTAAATCAATTCTGGTATGAAATAAGTAAGGTTCCCTCTGGCGTCACCTTAAGCTGATAATGAACAAACCCTCAGTGAAGCCTACTCCCCAAGGAAGACTTCCTTAATAGCACTGATTAAAAATAAAATGAAATGTCTACTTAGGAAGCAAGATGTATTGCTTCCTGCTTTCCTTCACTGGGGTATCTTGTAATTGGACCAATGCTAATTGAACACATCAGCCAAACAATTTCATTTAAAAAGGAGGAAAAAAAAGACTCTAATTTCCCTTGGTTTCTACAGGGTTGGTGTCACTGACAAGACCAATATCCCGAACTGTAAAATCATCATGGAATCACAGAATGGTTTGGGTTGAAGGGACCACAAAGACCATGTAGTTTCAACCCCCCTGACAGAGGCAGGGGCACCTTCCACTAAACCAGGTTGCTCAAAGCCCCATCCAGCCTGGCCTTGAACACTTCCAGGGATGGGGCAGCCACAGCTTCTCTGGGCAACCTCTGCCAATGTCTCACCACCCTCATAGTAAATATTTTTTTCATAAGATCTAATCTAAATTTCTCCTCTTTCAGTTTAAAGCCATTCCCCTTTGTCCTGTCACTACATGGCCTTATAAAAAGTTCCTCACCGCCTTTCTTATAGGGCCCGTTTAAGTACTGGAAGGCTGCTACAAGGTCTCCGTGGAGCCTTCTCCAGGCTGAACAACCCCAACTCTCTCTGTCTGTCTTCACAGGAGAGGTGCTCCAGACCTCAAAGTATCTTTGTTGCCCTCGTGACTGCCACGACTTCTCAAATATGATGGACAGCAGCATAGCCACTTCATCCTCTAGTTCCCTCAGGACTCACACATGCATCCATCATGTCCCGTGGACTTGTACACCTTCAAGTTACTTGGATGGTCAAAAAGCTGATCTTCTCAGATCAGGGGGTTCTTTACTCTCCCAGTCCCAGCCCTTGCTTTCTGTGACCTGTGGGGTGAAGACTGAGGAAAAATAATCATTGAGCAGTTCAGCCTTCTCAATATCCCAGGTTACCAGGTCTCCTGTTTCCTTCCAGAGAGAGCCCCCATTTTCCCTAGTCTTCCTTTTATCCCTGATGTACTTAATAGAAGCTTTTTTTGTTGCCCTTAAAATCCCTGGCCAGATTTAATCCTGTCAGGGCTTTAGCTTTCCTAACTTGATCCCTGGCTGAAGTCCCCTCTGTAGACTTCCTTTTTATGTTGGAGTTTGTCCAGATGCTACTTGTTCATCCACACACGCCTCCTGTCATTTCTGCCTGACTTCTTCGTCATTTGGATGCATTGCTTCTGAGCTTGGAGGAGGTGATCTTTTTTCATTTTACTTATGTACCAGATTAACATAAATCTTCAAGAAGAAACACAAAAGTGTTTTTTAAAGAACATGCTCTGATTTAATATGTCTTGTACAATGATGGGATGGACAGAACAGGTGCATCTACCACAGGCTGAAAAATGTCTCTGCAGCATTAGTGTAAACTTGTATCTGTATCAAACCATGAACTATAGAACAGATTAAATTTTTTTGCCTGATATAAGGGCATAATTTACAAAGGAGGTGGTAAAGGCTGGCAGATTCAGGACAGCAAGATAGAAGAAATGGAGACACAATTAAAAAGCAGGTTATTTCTTAGACAGGCACTAACTGGAAAATCTGTATCTCTGTTTTTCGTCTCTATGTAACAGTGGTCAAACCCACGTAAACACAACCAGGGAGCCGAAAATCTTAAGTAGTTGGGGGAATGAGGTAGCAACTAATACTCGCTTTTCCTTTCCCACCCTGATTCATTCTATCCATTAATTCATACTTAACCTTTGTGACCTTAAGTCTTTTCCTTTCATCATTTCTCCTATTAACAGGGCTTCCTCCTTGCCAAAAGCAGCAGCTGAGAACTACTTCCTTTTAACATCTCACTTCCAAAACAGCTTCCTCTATGAAGCAGACACAGATCAGCCTGTCTCAGCAGAGCATGCAAGAGCCTTGGAGAGGTGTTGGAGAACAAAGGAGATCTTGGGGAGACTCTGCCTTGCATCTTCGAATGCTGCCTTTCGCTTTGTACTTTTTGCATGGCAAACCCCCTAAAAAGGATGCATTAAAAACCTGCATCTTACCACCTCCTTAATTTTATATATTGGCATTCATAATTAGATCTTGGTTATGATTTTTAAGACTATTTTATTCCATGGTAATAGGATTATAATCTTTAATTTTCTTCAAAATACTTGTAATTTTTTTTGCAGCAGCAATATACAGTTGAATAAAGCCTTGATGTATTTTATTAAACTTCATACTTCCTTAATATTGTTCATGGAGAAACTAGAATACAGCAAACTGCTGATGGGCCGCATTTCTAAATTCTGTATTGCCTCAAATATTAGCTCAGTGAAGACTTCAAAAAAATCATAATTATAAGCCCCAAGAGATCAGGGAGACTGCTATTCTAATCTGTTATGGGAAGACAGATTCAAGAGAGATTTCTGATTCTAGCAGTATAAAATTCACAAGCCCAGAAAGCCTACATTTTGTTTCCCACAGGAAAAAAAAACACAATGCCAACATGTTAAAACAATGCTAAAAATGCATGAAGAAAGACAAAATATTACTTGACATTTATCTGCTAAACTGAACAGGTCTCACAAAACATTTTGTATTTTTTAGGCCTTCTATCTATAGACATATTTATATGTGCTTACAGATAGAAATTGATATACTAAATTGTATATTAATACAATTTAGTTTCAATCAGTCACTTCTGTATAAACATGAAAAAAGCCCCAAACAAACAGTTCCTACAGTGAACCTCTGGATTCCAAAGCAAGTCTTTCTCTTACGCTACTTCTCTGTCTAATTCCTTGGTCCTCTAAGATGACTTTCCAGACTGAAGCCATGAAGTAGTTATGCAGCACTGACTGACAGAGTGCTGTTAAACACGCAGTTTCATTCGTTCAGGGCATTTTGGTTGGCTTGCTCAGCTGTAATGATCCTCTTGATGTAACATTACAGTTTTTCAGAACCGTAATTCGCTGCCACAGCAGCACTGCTACACCCACATGATGACTCCTACTGTGCAGGATTCTCCATTAATTTACAATCAGAAACAATGACAGGTTTCACTGCAGGCATCTTATAATGCCACACCTCATCTCTGAATTTGTTCCCATTCATATTTGAAGCATATTTGGTCTCAGCCTGCAGAAACCTTTTAGCATTGGTTGCCAAAGGCCACATTATAGTTCCATTAACAGGCATTTTTTTAGAAATCATTAAGGGTTAATGCAACTATCTTGTGAAAGAAAAGCTGACTTAAAATCAACATATATGTATTCACCGGGCTATGATGCATTCACATTGTGCTAATAATGAAAAGAATGAGGTAAACTGGGAGGCTTTATTGAAAACTGCTGCTTACTTCCAGGTATACTCTATAAAGCAGAAGGCCACTATTACTATACGCAGAAGATGAAGGAGAGTCTCTAAGCAAAACTGAAATAAAACAGAGTAGATGGAGATCCAGCAATCTGTGAAGTGGAACACAAACATTCCTGCAGTACTATAAAGACAAATGCACACACACACAATAACCAAGTGCAAAAGATACAAATATTTTTGTGGAGAAAGTAACCATTCTTCTATAAGGGTCACTGTGGATATAGATGGTGGTGGTAGCAGATAATGCAACAACGTAACTACAGACGGCTTCTGCACCCATTAAAAACTTGGGTGACCATCAGCTAATAGCTGAGTTTGCAAATGGTTTTGATGGATGTCAGGTAAGAGCAAGGAACAAGAGGTTGGCAAAGGAAAACACAACTCTCCCCTCTTCTTCAAAGCATTTGCTACCCACAAGGGGATGCAACAGGATATGCGCCTGCACAGACATGACCTGTGTGACAGTCATGCCACAAGAAATAACAAATACAACACATTTCTTTACAGCAGCATTATCACAAGACCAGCAAGCATTTTTCAGAGCTCACTGAAAGAACTATACATAACCTGTGCTATCTTCCTTATGCTACATCAAAGTTTCCTGAAGAGGCGTGCAGAACTAGTTAAATTTGTTGTGTACTGGAACAGTTATGCTTTCTACATACAAGAGGAACAATATTTTGCCTCATTGCAGAGGTGCAAAATAGATTCAAACTGATCATTCAGGGAATTGCCTAATGCAAAGGTGGCACCCTTTAAACCCATTTTTAGAAAACAAAATTATGGCTGTGATTACCTTCCTGACACAGTAAGAATGACATACACTCTTCTTTATTTTCGCCTCCAGGTATTTGTTTTGGAATATTACTTTTCATTCCCACTTTAGCCTTTAACTGCTTCCTAAGTGACAAATGGTGTGCTGTGGGGAAAGGAGCCTTACCTTAGACTAAAATTCTCAGCCAGCTTTGCCCTTCCCTGCCTGCCTGTATTTACAGCCACACCTGTCCTGACCAAGCACAAAGTGCCTGCAGAAATGCTGCTGATTCCAAACTCTTCACCAACAGTGAAACAGCCTGTTACACCCACTGCAAACAGGGATAAGTGCCCATACCAGGGCAGCAGCAAACCTCTGTTATAATTCTTGTTATGGCTTTGGGAATTAACTTTTTTTTTTTTAACTAAAAGAACAAGACATAAGAAGCCAAAAGCTCTTCCCTCACCCATGAGAAAAGACACTCAAATTGTATGTAGCATTATTACTCACCTGAATCAACCATAATGCTCCAACATGTCCTTCCCTAACTGAAATGTCATCTATACTACATACTTTATGACTGAACATAATGAGTGAGAGGAATTTTTGTACAGCATTAAGGAAAACGTAACCAAGATTAAAAAGGAAACTATGAAATTCTGATGCCCCTTCCTGAGCTGAGCACTGAAAAAATGCTGCAATTTCCAAGGACATTGCTCTTCCACTTAAATAAGATTGTAAAGGTATGAATGATGATTGACGCTCCCTTACCAGCTTAAAAGATTCTGGAGTGAGGATGCAATCAGAGGTTTCTATGATGGAAGAAGTAAGTGTGACATAAAATGCTTCAAGTGCTTCTGGCAAAAGAGAGAGGAAACAGCCAGATGCCACATCCTCTGAAGGCAGGCATGGAAGTATAACTACTACTGAATGCAGAGTGTATTATTTTGTCCTTTTTTCCTCCCCATCATAAGCAGCTATGTTCTGCTCTGCTACAGGTATCTAGATCTACAGGGGATTCAGGAAATTACAGTCTATATGTAATTAGTCTATATTCTATTTCTGCTGAATGGATTATCCCCCCTACACACACAGCTGAACTCCTGCACAACACACATGATAAATGCGTACTGGAAACTTGGAACAGAACAACACTGAAGGACAAAGGATGACCTTATCAGCTCTAACACCTGTTGCCATTAAAATGATATTTTATGTTTGACTCACAAAGCCAGAAAATACTTGAGTGGAAAACTGAAGATCTAAATAAGCAAAGAAGAAAGCAAAATCAAGGAACGTGAAGCCAAAACAAGGTTGAGGATGTTAAGTCTGTATTGAGGTTTTTTTACTTTTTTACCTCCTGGTTTTGGTGGCAATGGAGTATTCTCAAAAATGTGAAAATACCTGACATGTATTTATTTCACTATTTATAAAGTTTAAAAGCAAACCAAAACCAAACCCCATCCTCATAAGAAATCATACGGGAACATTATTCTATTGATTCCATTACCGTCATATTGTGAAACAAGTCACCCCTCAGAACAGCTGAAAATAATAGTCACACATTATGTGAAATGTGTGATACTTGTTTTTTTTTTGATTAAGAGACATAAAATTATTTCAGTTGCATTTACTTATAGATCACTTCTTTATTTTTAAAAGCATGTATAAATAACACAACATTTCATAGAGCTAGAATTTATTTTCCTAGCTGTGAGAACTATCTGAAATAATTGGAAAGTTTGGTCCTTTGAAGAGATGACTAGTTTCACAATATGACTGAAATGTACGCTGCGGGTTCTCTAAATGAAAAAAGACGTCCTCTTGCTTTCTGCCCCCCATCAATGCTTTGGATATACACATTGTCAGGCCTTTGAGCTTTGTTTAATTATTTTGTGCAGGGGACTGGAATCCTCTAAGTGTTTGTGTATGCATGTGAGAGTGTGAACACACAGCAGAATTCAGTAGCTACACAAAGTAATAGCGCTTTTAAAGTCCTGAACTATCCCTCAGCTTCTACTGTTTCAATTTATCATTTCTTAAAATTCAATAAATCTGATACCAAATCATTAAGCAATTCTGTATTTGCTCCAATAAACAATATTTGATTAATGATAAGAATGATGAAACAGGATGATATTACCAATAAGACCCACATAGTGCAATGTATTTTATCCATTCTACTGGAAAAAAATAGTTTTACTGAGAACAGTACTGTCTAGTAATGGTAGACCCTCAGAATGGAAATTTGAGGATGGCATTACTGTATTTATGACCTGTGTGAGGCCTGCATAGATCTGCAGGTTTCTATCTCCCCCAAGTGGTCTTGGGGACTTCCTGCCCACCATACAATGAATACTGTTGCCATGGAATTGGCTGCACAAGCAGTAAGGTGGGTAAGTGGCTTTTTGATATTATTATATTGCGCATTTCTCCTACATAATTTTTACAATGTATCTGCATACCGACTGTGTATAACTTAAAAGCTGTGCAATATAATAAAAGAAAAATGCCACTTACCTGACTTTCCATTATCTGGTCTACAAGAATTCAGTGTCTCACTAGTATGCTAAATATCGGGATGTCATAGGAGAGCAAAGAGTCAGCCTTTTGACAACGAAGAATGTCATGTAGCCTAAAAAAAAATTACAAAGGGTTTTTGCTTCTCTAAAGGAAAAACAGACTATATCAATTTTTTTGTTAAGCCAATTGTTTTAAGTTTTCCTTCCAATGAAATTGAAGGTGTTTCTGTCACATCTTGCCACTCTTTCAGAAGTGTTTCTGCCACTCCAGACACCCTGTCTATATCCCTTCACAAGAAATCACTATTTTTTCCTAAACGTCTTTCCTAAATGATACCTTCAATATATACACCACTTTGTAAATCTACTTAAACCATGTTTAGGGGCAGGAACAAGAGTGAGGAAGTTGGAGAAACTTTATAATCAGACAGAGAAACTTACTACTAATAAACAAAATAATTTTTGCTAAAACTACAGAAAATTTACTGCAGTTTAAAACACTGTTTAAATGTTCAATCAGGATCATTTAGTAAGAATAAAAATACCCCCAAAACAAACAACCTGGATCTAGAGAATGCACCAGATGTCTTGACACAGCACGCTAAAGAAAATTAATGAAAACATGACTCAGAAAGGGCAGGACAAAGAAAAGCCAAAAACCCTAACAAAAGCAAATGAAACAAAAAAATATCTGCAATTCAAATAAATAGGCCTCTATCATGTAAAACTGGATCAGTTGTTTTTTTGGGGTAGAATATAGCAATATATTTTCCTCTGACATTATATAATACTCCAGCTAACATTTCTTGAGTCAGTGCATGAAGTTCAGTTTTGTAAAGATAAATACCAGTGAAATAACAAAGGCCGAACTTTAGCTGCACAATACAATTCTGCACAAATTCACAACAGAATTAAGAATAAAAAGTAACTCAATATTAAACAACTAGAAAACTCCCACTGTGCCTCCGCAATGTCTGGCCAAAATCTTTCTGCATTGGTGCTTTTCAACGATAATCAGGAAATTCATTACCAAGGCTCACAAGCTTTTAGAATAATTTTCTATATGTCTGTTGCTTAGCATCCCCAGAAGCTTATTGGAAGCAGAACTCAAAACTGAAGACGGAAAAAGTAAACCTGAATATCTTCACTGATTATATAGGAATTAAACTGAACTCTTTAGTGCTGTAGAGCAAGAATGGAATTTTCCATTGTGACAACAGTATCTAGTTTGATGAACAACATCACTTAGAAAAACAAGACAATGTATAAGCAACACATTCCTTACTATCTATATTAACCTACAAAGAAGAGCTAAAGGACAGATAAAAGGAGAATATCTTCACCAGAAGGTACCAAAGCCAAAACAAGCCCTAGAAAAACAAGTAGTCATCAAAAAACAGTCGTAACTGGGTGAAAGGGGAAGGTGGCAGGGGGATATTGTGACCACTGACTCAATTCAGGACTCAGAAATCTTCCCTACCCTGCACCATCACAGAGCATGCGTGCTAACTTAACATGGCAAGCAAGGACAGTTTATCCAATATAAGATAGAGTACTAATTAATCATATATCCTGTAAATTTTGACCAATGAAAAAGAATTCCTTTGTTCTCTGAAATGTATATAATCTGATATACACAAAACTAAGGTGTGCTAGCTTTGTGGAGCTTCTATCTAGCACCCCCTTTTGCAAAATAGCTGACAATAAAATACCTCAACTCTGCGTGCATACTGGTATTTTGCACATGGGGCAAGGATAGTTGACGAGGCCTTCTACAGGCAGCTGAGAGCGGCCTCACAGTCACAGGCTGTGGTCGTCGTGGGGGATTTTAACTTCCCTGATGTTTGCTGGAAGGACCACTCGGCAACCCAGCTGCAGTCCAGGAGGTTCCTCCAGTGTATGGATGATAACTTCCTCCTGCAAATAGTGGATGAGCCGACCAGAAGAGGAGCGCTGCTGGATCTCATCCTCACTAACAAGGAGGATCTGGTTGAAGCAGTAAGGGTTGAGGGCTGCCTTGGTTGCAGCGACCACGAGATGGTGGAGTTCAGGATCTTGTGTGGTAGGACTAGTAGAATACCAAGTAGAATTGCAACCCTGGACTTTAGCAGGGCAAACTTTGGCCTTTTCAAGCAATTGCTAGGGGAAATCCCATGGGCAAGGCTGCTTGAAGGTAAAGGGGCCCAAGATAGTTGGTTGACATTCAAGGACTGCTTTTTCCGTGCTCAAGATCGGAGCATCCCGACACGTAGGAAGTCAAGGAAGAGGGCCAAGAGACCTGCGTGGCTAAATAGGGAATTGCTGGGTATGCTCAAGTGGAAGAGGAGAGTTTACAGGTCATGGAAGGAGGGGCTGGCCACTTGGGAGGAATATAAGGCTGCTGCTAGAGGATGTAGGAAGGCAGCTAGGAGGACTAAGGCATCCTTAGAATTAAACCTGGCAAGAAGGGTCAAGGACAGCAAAAAGAGCTTTTTCAAATACATGGCAGACAAAACTAACACCAGAGGCAATGCAGGCCCACTGATGAACGGGATGGGTGCCCTGGTGACAGAAGATACAGAGATGGCAGAGTTACTGAATGCCCTCTTTGTCTCTGTCTCCTCTGCTGCAGGCAGTCCTGAAGAGCCCTGTACCCCTGAGACCTTAGATGAAGTCAGGTCGAAGGAGCGGTTTGCCTTAGTCGATGAGGAATGGGTTAGAGACCAGTTGAGCAATCTGGACATCCATAAATCCATGGGTCCAGATGGGATGCACCCGCGGGTGCTGAGGGAACTGGCGGAAGTCATTGCTAGACCACTCTCCATCATCTTTACCAAGTTTTGGGAAACGGGAGAGGTGCCTGAGGACTGGAGGAAAGCAAATGTCACTCCAGTCTTCAAAAAGGGCAAGAAGGAGGACCTGGGTAACTGTAGACCGGTCAGCCTCACCTCCATCCCTGGGAAAGTGATGGAACACCTTATCCTTGGTGCCATCTTAAGGCATATCAAGGATAAGAGGGTTATGAGGGGCAGTCAACATGGCTTCACCAAGGGGAAATCATGTTTGACAATCTCTTAGCCTTTTATGAGGAAATAACACGGTGGATGGATGATGGCAGAGCGGTGGATGTGGTCTACCTTGACTTCAGCAAAGCATTTGACACAGTCTCCCACAGCATCCTCACAGCTAAATTGAGGAAGTGTGGACTGGATGATCAGGTAGTGAGGTGGACTGTGAACTGGCTGAAGGAGAGAAGCCAGAGAGTTGTAGTCTATGGGGCTGAGTCTAGGCCTTAGGAGGCCTAGGAGCCATCTAGGAGGCCTTAACTAGTGGAGTGCCTCAAGGGTCAGTACTGGGACCGGTATTATTTAATATATTCATCAACGATTTAGATGAGGGAATTGAGTGTACTGTCAGCAAGTTTGCTGATGACACTAAGCTGGGAGGAGTGGCTGACACGCCAGAAGGCTGTGCTGCCATCCAGCGAGACCTGGACAGGCTGGAGAGTTGGGCAGGGAATAACTTGATGAAATATAACAAGGGGAAGTGTAGAGTCCTGCATCTGGGCAGGAACAACCCCAGGTTCCAGTATAGGTTGGGGAACGACCTGTTAGAGAGCAGTGTAGGGGAGAGGGACCTGGGGGTCCCAGTGGACGACAGGATGACCATGAGCCAACACTGTGCCCTTGTGGCTAAGAAGGCCAATGGCATCCTGGGGTGTATTAGAAGGGGGGTGGTTAGTAGGTCGAGAGAGGTCCTCCTTCCCCTCTACTCTGCCCTGGTGAGACCCCATCTGGAATATTGTGTCCAGTTCTGGGCCCCTCAGTTCAAGAAGGACAGGGAGCTGCTGGAGAGAGTCCAGCACAGGGCAACCAAGATGATTAAGGGAGTGGAGCATCTCCCTTATGAGGAAAGACTGAGGGAGCTGGGTCTCTATAGTTTGGAGAAGAGGAGAATGAGGGGTGACCTTATAAGTGTCTATAAATATGTAAAGGGGGAGTGTCACGAGGATGGAGCCAGGCTCTACTCAGTGGCAAACAATGATAGGACAAGGGGTAATGGGTACAAACTGGAACACAAGAGGTTCCACTTAAACTTGAGAAGAAACTTCTTCTCAGTGAGGGTGATGGAACACTGGAACAGGCTGCCCAGGGAGGCTGTGGAGTCTCCTTCCCTGGAGACATTCAAAACCCGCCTGGACACATTCCTGTGTAACCTTATCTAGGTGTTCCTGCTCCGGCAGGGGGATTGGACTAGATGATCTTTTGAGGTCCCTTCCAATCTCTAGCATACTGTGAT